CCTTACCCACCAGGTCATTGGATAGACCCTTATTTATTTTTAAGTTGAGGCATATTTCAGTAAATTTCTTCATTCATGAGAGACCCCTACACTAATCTTCCAAATACTGCCTTACAAAAGCAGTTCAAGACCTATACATTTTATTCTCTCTCTCGTGGTAGGTATTTAGATGAAGTGAAAATTGTATTTAATTGATAAAAACTGGTATGCTAACAACCCTTACTTTGTAATTATTTCTTAACTCGTGAAGCTGTATATACTTCTGTGTTTGTTAGATATCAAAGCTCTATTGCAAATTTGCTGTGTTATGTCTTTTCATCAGTATAGTGGGTCTGAAGGATTTTTATTCTTGTTTATGGCTGCATTCCTTACACTCATAAGACTTTGAGTTATTTATAAATTTTATTTTCCATTTAGTTTTATAATGTAAGTATCAAAGTCATTTGGGAGGAATGTTTCAAAGTTTATAAGTTGCATGTTTAATACGGTTGTTTTCTAATCATTTTTTGGGCCAGCCTTTGGAATGGTGATTCCCACATGGCCCACTGCAGTTCAAGTCCCAGACCTGGCAGCTTAAATTCACACTGGACACACATGCATACCTAAAATCCTGACAGGAGAACAGAAGGGAAGGGATTGTGGGGTGGTGGAGTGACCATCCCTTCTGTGGTGATTTCTCACTTTCCCTCTCTCTGTCTCTGTTTCTTTCTCTCTGGCAAGTGCATGTGCCCTATAGCAAAACCAAAAACAACACATTATATTTAACCTGATTGTATTCACCTGCAATTATATTTATTTCACAATTTTCTCCTTGATTTAACTTTTCCATATAATGTGCATGCATTCACAAACCTTTGTGAAAATAGAAAGGTAACTAAAGCATGTGAAGTCTCTGTTATTTAGATCTTGTGCCATAATGGTGAAGACAGAGTGTAAAGAGATAAGTGTGTATGATATAAAGCCCTCAGGAACAAATCATGCAAAAATATTTTTTCTTTTCATAAAGAGTTTTTACTTTAATTTTATTTATCATTATTATTATTTTCTAATTTGCTATACAACATGTGCATATACCAGAGAGACACAGAGAGAAAAACAGTGAGAAAGAAAGCTACCAGGTTCAGAACTCAAACTGTGGTCAGTCATGTGGGAACCCAGTGCCTTAACTATCAGAATGTTTTTGTCATGTGCAGAAGTTTATTCAATACAAAAGGACAGAATTATCGTGGCATGTGAAGAATTTTATATAATACACCCTGCAGAAGCCTTTGCGATGGTAAATGGAGATAGAACCAGGAACAGGGTGTGCCTACTAGATTTTTCAAAAAAGAAATAAAAAATAAACACCTAAGAATAACAAACAAAAGGTTGCACACAAAAACCTGTGAGAAAGAGGCTCTCTTGACAAATAAGTTTGGAAGAGCTACAGAAAAAAAAAATCTTCTAATGTTTCATGTAAAACATGCCAGGGCCAGCCAGTGGCATGATGGTTAAGGTGACCAAATCCTACATGCTAACTTTACATTTGAGTCCCAGACCCAGCAGCTTAAAAAATATGCTGGGCATATGCATTGGTATGCAAGTTCCAAATCCATCCATGTACACTCTTTGGCAAGTGCACATGCCCTATAGCAAAATTAAATTAATAAGTAAATACATTTAAAGTTTGCAGATGGTTGGTTTATTCCATTTTTCTACTGAGGATCTTGACCTCATGTCTTTTTTTCCTTTAATTTATTATTCTCATAATCTTGTTTATATTACATTGAATCATATATAACTTTACAATATACTATATTTCTTTTTTCCATAAGGAATATCATGCGTATCAGTCAATACAAACACATTAAAATCCCTATCAATATCAAATAGCTTTTCATTATTTTTTCCAGATTATTATTATTACAATTATTTTTAAACATTTGATCATTATTTATCATTTTGTTTGTGAAAAGATTTTATACAACATGAAATGCTTCTCAGACCAACCCAGTCGAGAATACTATACATGTCATCATCAACAGATAATAAACTGTATCTGTGTCCTACAAATGTCATGCCTCTCTATTTGTTCTCTTGTTATCTTCTTTATATTCTTCTCTTCCCCCCCCCCATTCCACACTGTCTTATCCTCATTAACTATTTTCATTGCTTTTATGTCCTTCAATATTTCACTCTCTACCATAGAGTGCGGTTAGTCGGTATATATTGAGTGGATACATACAATATCTTTCTTTCATATCCTGGCTTGCTTCACTCAGCAATAGATCCTCCTTATCTGACCACTTTCGATCAAATGCCAGGGTCTTGTTTTTTTATGGCTTAATAGTATTCCATGTCTGTTTTTATGCCAATACCATGCTGTTTTGATAATCACAGCTTTATAGTATATCTTGGAACCCTGTCTCCCACTCCACTCTTCTTGCACAGGATTGCTTTGACAATATGAGGTCTTTTATGATTCCAGACAAATTCTGTGATTGTCTTTCTTTGATCTGTGAAGATTGTCTCTGGTATTTGGTTGGAATTGCATTAAATATGTAGATTAATGGGTAGAATTGTCATTTTGATTATGTTAATTCTTCTAATCCAGGAACATGAGATGTCCTTACACTTTTTTATGTCCTTATCAATATCTTTTTTTAAGATTTTCATAGTTTTCTCTATAAAGGTCTTTGACTTCCTTAGTTAGGTTTATCCCTAGGTATCTTATACATTTTCTGGCTATGGTGAAAGGGATTCCTTTCTTCAGCTCTGCTTCGTTCAACTTGTTCATATATAGAAATGCTATAGGTTTTTGGATGTTGATTTTGTGTCCTGCCACTTTACTGTATTCGCTTAATTACTTTGAGAAGTTTTTTCATGGAAACCTTTGCATCTTCTAAGTATACCATCAAGACATCTGCAAATAAAGATATCTTCTACACTTCTTTGCCTATTTGAATGCCTTTTATATTGTTCTCTTATCTGATTGCATTAGCTAAGACTTCCAGAACTGTATTAAAAAGCAGTGGATATCGAAATGGTCTCATTGTAAGTCAAACAATTTGATTGAAAGTATATACAAAAAACAAATAAGATATTGTATGTATCCACTCAATATATACCGACTATCCGCACTCTATAATAGAGAGCAAAAATTCGGAGGACATAAAAACAGTGAAGGTACTTAATGAGAATAGGACAGTGTGGAATGGGGTAAGTGAAGAGAAGAGGATAGAGAAAGATAGCAAGTGAACAATAGAGAGACAGGACGTTAGTGAGAAACAGATAGGGGTTATTAACTGTTGATGATGACATGTATAGTATTCTCAACTGGATTGGTCTGAGAAGTATTTCATGATGGGCAAAGTATTTTTACAAGCAAAACGAGAAATAGCAATTGACTGTTTTATAAAAACAATTAGAATAATAAAAATAATGATTGGGGAAAACAGAAAAGATATGGAATGTTGAAGTGGGGAGATTAATGTCTCTGTACTGACTGACATGCATGGCATTCCCTTTTGAAAAAACAATGTAATACACTGTAAAGTTATATGTAATCCAATGTAATATAAAGAAGATTATGATGATAAAAAAAAAGAAGTGGAAAATAGTGGAGATGAAATGCATGAGAAAAAAATATGGAGAGGACTGTGGCAAACTGACAATATTTGGCATAATGACAGTAATTCCACAATGATTTTCCAATGAGGTAAAATTTATCAAAATACATAACACTAACATGGGGAAAACTGAAAATGTATAAAAATTCCACATAACTTCACAAGCTACAGATCTGGTATTTGGTCTGAGTCCTTCCAAATGGTTATCTTTCAAACTAGCTGTTTCCTACTGCCATAAGCAAGATCTTCAACTATGATCTTCCACATTAAAACAACTCCATTTAGTGTCATTCCAAGTGATTTCTTCCAGGTGACCTTTTAAATTATCATAAATACACACACAAGCATACACATACATGCATATATATATGTGTGTGATATTTACGGATTATATTTACTATATCTGTGTATCTTTACAGCATACCAAATGAATTTTCTCATTATGAATACACTATATATTAGTCCAGTCAACGATATTACCATATACATAATTTTCAGTGGATAATTTCCCATTAGTGTGTTCCCTAAATATTTAGCTTCTTCCTTCTCCCCTTTGATTCCCTCCCTCTCACGTTGCCCTATTTCTCACCCTCCTCCCACTCTATGTCTAGTATCCACAGTTTCTCTCCCTGCCTTTATACCTCCAATCTTTCAGTTTTTGCCATAGAGGGCCAACATTTGGTAAATATTGAGTGGGGACACGCAATACCTCTCTTTCATAGCCTGGCTCGCTTTGCTTAGCAGTAAATCTTCCATATTCATCCACTTTCTTCGTTTTATAGCTCTGTTCACTCGTTGTCTAAATAGCGTCTAGATCATGTCAAAATTTAATTTATATTTTCCAAATGCACGATGTGTTTTGTCATTAAAACTATAGATTACAGGGACCAGCAGTTAGCCTAATGGCTATGTCACTGGACTGCCATGTAGTCGACCGTGGTTCGAGTTCTGGACCTGGTGGCTTAAACTCAGGCCAGGAGAGTAGGTGTGCATGCCCAAGATTCCGAGAGGAGAATGGAGGAGAAGGGACTGCGGTGTGACCATCCCCCCTGGGGGGTGATTTCTCACTTTCTGTCTCTCTGTTTCTTTCTGTCTTTATGGCAAGCGCATGTGCCCCAGAGCAAAAACCTCCCCCCCCCAAAAAAAAAAGAACAAACAAAAAACTATAGAGTATATGTCTTTGGGGAAAGGCTGAGTAAGACTGAAATTTCTAATCAGAGAAGTCCTAAAGGGGTCAGAGCCACACACGAAATAAAGAAATTAAGTTCCTGAGTGCAGAATACAAATGATAGCATTCGTGACAGGTAAGTGGTCATGTGTACCTCAAATCCTTTCTCTCTCTCTCTCTCTCTCTCTCTCTCTTTTTTTTTTTTTGTTAGTCACATCAGCCTCATGGAACCAGGGAATGATACAGATATTTCAGAATTCTTTCTTCTGGGACTTTCAGAGGAACCAGAATTGCAGCCCCTCATATTTGGGATTTTCCTCTCCATATACCTGGTCACCTTGTTTGGAAACCTGCTCATCATCCTGGCCACCATCTCAGACTCCCACCTGCACACGCCCATGTACTTCTTCCTCTCCAACCTGTCCTTTGTGGACATCAGTCTCACCTCTGCCACTGTCCCAAAGATGCTGGTGAACATCCAGACTCAGAGCAAGGTCATCACTTATGTGGGCTGCATCACCCAGATGTTCTCTTTCCTACTTTTTGCAGGGTTGGACATCTTTCTGCTGACCGTGATGGCCTATGACCGGTATGTGGCCATCTGTCACCCCCTGAACTACACTGTCATTATGAACCCCCAGCTGTGTGTGTTGTTAGTCCTTATAGCCTGGATCACAAGTGTCCTGAATTCCTTGTTACATAGCTTAATGATGTCACAACTATCCTTCTGTACAGATCAGGAAATCCCCCACTTTTTCTGTGAATTCAATCAGGTAGTTCACCGTGCCTGTTCTGATATATTTTTTAATGACATGGCGATGTATTTTACATCAGGGCTGCTGGGTGGTGGAACCTTTTCTGGTATCGTTTTCTCTTATTCTAAAATAGTTTCCTCTATATATAGAATCTCATCCACTCAGGGGAAGTATAAAGCCTTTTCCACCTGTGTCTCTCACCTGTCAGTCGTGTTCTTATTTTATTGTACAAGCATGGGTGTGTACTTTAGTTCTGCTGCTACCCACAGCTCACACTCGAGTGCAACAGCCTCAGTGATGTACACTGTGGTCACCCCCATGCTGAACCCCTTCATCTACAGTCTCAGGAATAAAGACATAAAGAGGGCCCTAAAACGATTAATCATAGGAAAGCAATAATCAGGCCATTTTTCAAATGCACACAGGATTGCAGCTATAAAGTCCTCACACTCAGAAATTGCAGTTAAAAATAGATTGTAGAACCAGAATTTCATCTATCTCTTTACTTTAGTTTCAATCTCTTTGACCTCAGGTTTATACAACTTAAGGGTTTTTTTTTGTTTTGTTTTGTATTTTTGTTTGTTTGTTTTTTATAAAGTGTTCTCTCTCTCTGACTCCAACGGTTTTTTTCCTTTTGTCATTTACATACTTTCTCATATTTATTGTCAAAGTAAGATCAGGAACAATTAGAAGATCCCCATGTTTCTCATATAGCATGAGCATCCTTTATCCCCAAATCCAAAATGTTCCAAAATGTAAAACTTTCTGAACAAAAGTATAAAATTTCATACTTGACCTCATGTGATACGTCACAATCAAAATGCTGCCATGTGGGACCAGAAGATGTCCTAGTAATTAAGGTGCTGACTCCCACACGGCCAACTGGGGTTCAAGTCCCATACCTGAGGCATGAAACTTATGCAGGGTGCTTGTGTGTGCATGCCTAAAATACCATTAGCAGAATGGAGGAGAAGGGATTGCAGTGTAGTCATTCCCCATGGGGATGATTTCTCACTTTCCCTCTCACTTTCTATTATCCGTCTTTCTGGTAAGTGCACCTCCCTATGACATTATTTCATTATATCGTCTTGCTATTTCTGCTTTCATTTTTCACGATTGTCTACATATGACTCCTTCTATTGTTCTCAAGAATATCCCACCCTTTAAACATTTTTGTAATAGGGCCAGTAGATTGCATGGAGGTTAAAGTGGCTGGATCCCAGATGGCCGACTTCATGGTTTGAGTCCCAGAAAGAGCAGCTTGAAAATCATTCTGGGGGTATGTGCATGTGTGCCCAAAATCCCAAGAAGAGAATGGAGAAGATTGCGTCTTGGCCATCCCGTGTGTGTGTCTGTGTGTGTGTGTGTGTGTGTGTATATGTGTGTGTGTGTGTATGTGTGTGTGTGTGTGTGTGTGTGTGTGTGTGTGTGTGATGGTGGTGAGTGGTTTCTCTCTCTCTCCTGCCCTCTATTGTATCCAGTGAGTACATGTGATCTATAGCAAAAATAAACAAATAAATAAATAAACAAACATTAAAGTGGAGGTAAATCAAAAATCTGTGTATTTATACTAAATTTAGTTTCTCTGCCATTTTATAAACTTTCTCCCATCTTCATGATGAAAGGATGACTCAAATGAAGAGCTTCAGTCTCTTCCCAGCATAGCCTGTATAATAGACACTTGTGATTCAGGGGCACAACTGATTACCTCAAAACATTCATGTCCTGCTAACCTTTCCTAGTTACCTAGAAGGGAAACCCAAATGTATTCTTTTAAATACAGTTATATGAAATAAACATGAATATCCATGTAATCAAGAATGTTGTCTTAAAATATCAGAACAAATGCCAATAACGAAGAGGCAGCAGAATTCTCTGAATGTCTGCATTTTGTTTTGTTTGGATTAATTATTGTAATGTTGACCTATTGCTACATAATAAGTCACCCCAATAATTCATGGTTTAATATCATGCTTTTGTAATACACTGGAGTCAATATTGGTGAAATCTTCTTGTTGTGAATTAGGACATATGAATTGTGGAGTGGACAGAAAAACTTTCCGTATCTTAATTTATTCTTGAATTCTAAAATGAAAGGAAAATTTAAGAGAGGAAGATCAAGGAAAGTGGTGATATCTTACAATGGCTTTTATAGCTTCTTCTTAAGCATTGACCATGTCTGGCTGCTCACCTTCTATCAACCGAAACATGTCACATGTCTAAGCTCAAAGTAAACCATTGTAGGAATATACAGTCCTCCCAACTGAGGTAGCCACAAAACACATAGCTAATGGCAGAGAAACATAATCTAACTAAGGAGACTAAGGGAGTGAGTAAATAAGTGAAAAATAAAATTGTCTACCCAGGGGATAGACAGAAACATAAACATTCCATATATCTGTTGATGTTGTGTGTTTATGAATGATATGCTGTAGGCTTGCACCAACATAACAAGAGTTCCTTAAAGAGTTGGAAGAGTTCCTAGAAGACTTGGAGGAATAATTTCGTGCTCCAAGAAGTATCAGCCTCTGAGAGATTCCCTGGAGTGAAACATAGGACAATTTAAAAGAGCCTAAAAATTCTTGTTTGTTCTTTAAATTGCCAGAGGGTGAGTGAGTTCAACTGAGAGAGAGAGAGCTTGAGAAAAAGGGGAAGAAGGAGAAAGCATCCCCTCAATGGGACAAGGTCATGTCACAATATTTCTTCTCTATTTCTCCATCCTGCCCTGATTTGAGTCATGCACTCACACACATCCAGCATGTTTTTCAAGCTTCTGGATTTGGAATCCAAACCATAGTCAGCCATGTGGGATCTGGCTTCCTTAGCCACTGGGCTATCGGGTTATCGAGAGTCTACGACTTTTTAAGATGATCATTTGAAGTCAACATGAGGGCATCATTGATGAGTACAGCAAAGCATACCTCATCAAATATTCCCAAGAGCCATTGTCCCTGACTGAGAACCACTGATCCAGAAATTGAGCACTGGAAGCTTACTGAGAGAATTGCTAACAAGGCATCATCCCTTACTTGGTTAAAATGTTAGGCAGTGTAAGGTCCCACATAGTAAAACTCTCCTGAGCACCATTTGGTATTCCCTCAGGCCTGACAAGGAACCAAGGCTGACCTTCTCCTTAATTGGTCTTGGCAAGAGATCACACTCCAGGTGCTGCTACTGCAAGGTCACACTGTTCCAGGAAGGAGCAGGTAAAGACCCAGAGTGAGAACTGAGAGGTCTAAGTCCCTAGAGATGTAGCAAAAAGACTCACCAAATGTTTGATGAATGCTTATTCCACTAAGCCTAACTCCCCTGCACATCAGTTGCACAGTCTCTCAGAATAGCTTGATTACCATATAAAAGAAACTCTCTTCCTCCTAGGAAGGGGCTGGAGCAACCCCAGCTTCAGACCCTCAGATGATCTTTCTCTCAATAAACTTCCTTTTTCTTTTTTTAGAGAGAGAGATTCTTTAAGGGTGAGAGATGGAGGGAGAGTGAGAGGAAAGGAATCAAGGAGACAAATAGAGAGGCAAGTCATCTAAGAGACACAAGAAATGGATCATTGTTGATAGTAACATGTATGAAATATTCAACTGGACTGGTGTGGGGTGTATTCATGTTGGGTAATTTACTTTATAAGCTGTAGTGATGTATACGGATTGAATGCATAAAATAAAATAATAAAAAGATAATAAATTTTGTTTTTAAAAAGAGAAATTTTTGCTATAAGGCACATTCACTTATAAGAGACAGAGGAAAAGTGAGAAATTACCACCACCACCCCCCCAGGGGATGACCATGCTGCAATCTCTTTTGCTCCATTCTCTTCCTGGAACTTTCTTTGTTTCTTGACATGATATCTCCTGAGTCTTACTCCAGATGTGACAAACAGGTCACTCAAAGCTTTTGAGATCTACTTCTACAATGAAGAATAAAGGCACTTTTGTTGTTGTTGTTTTTGTTAGAGGGTATGTGAGCCTGCCAGAGAGGAATTGAAAGACACAGAGAGAATAGGAGAAGAGAAATCACCCCCCATGGGTAATGGTCATGCCACAATCCCTTCTCCATCTCTCCCTCCTTTCAGGATTTTAGACCTGTGCACCAGAAGTGTTTACCAAGCTGTGAGGTCTGGGACTCGAATTGCACAGTTGGACATATGGGAACAGTGCCTTAATCAGAAAGCCATGCAACTGGCTTGAAGAAGGAAGTTCTTAATAGCAGAATATCACAGAAGGAACTTGTGTAAAACTTAGACTCTTTCTTTCTTCTCTCTTTTTAAAATTTGCTCTAGGGTATTTGTGCTCACTGGAGAAAGAGAGGAAAGTGTGAAAGTACGCTTCCAGCAGGGATGACCACATTGCAATCGCTACTCCTCCATTCTTCTCTCAGGATTTTGGCCACACATGCACATGTGTCCAGTGAATTTTTTAAGCCACCGTGCAGGACTTGAACTAAATGCACAATCAGCCATGTGGGGTCCAGCCTCCTTAAGCACCAAGCTCAGCTGGCCAAAATCAGATGATAACTATAAGACATGAAACTTACGTTATGGTGAATAATATTTCAACATATCTGTAATAATGAAACAAAATTTATGGTGGGTGGCAACAGGTGGCATGGTGTATAAGGCACTAGACTACCACATGACTGACCTTGGTTTGAGTCCTGTACCTGGTGGCTTGCTTTCTCACCTTCTTTCTTTCATTATTCATATTTATTTATTTATTATTCATACATTACATTGCTATACATCATTTAGATTGTGAAGAGTCTTTACCCAGCATGATATACAACTCAGTTCAGCCCATTTAAGATCACCGTAAACATCCTCGTCATCAGATAATAAACCTTATGTGTGTCCAACAAGTGTCTTACCTCTCCATTTTCCTCCTAAATTTCCTATGCTCTTTCCTCCAACACTCTCTTTCCACTTTGTCTCTGGTGTCCATTACAATTTTTAATATTTGTATGTTCTCCAGTCTTTCAGTCTCTATCATAAAGTGCGGAGAGTCGGTATATGTTAAGTGGAGAATACAATGTCTCTCTTTTATAGCCTGACTTGCTTCACTCAGCAACAAATCGTTCATATCCATCCACTTTCTATCAAATTCCAGAGCCTTGTTGTTTTTTATGGCTTTCTCACCTTCTATCTCTGTCTCTCTCTTTCTCTCTGGTGAGCACACATATAACAATTTTTAAAAATAATAATGGAAAGAAGGCTAAATAATTCTTAAAATTATGATAAGGGAATAACTGATAGCTCTTAATTTGGGATATAGGTATGAAATTGTAATTGCTTTGGCAAAGGTCTCATGAAGCCAAAAAATGGAGTGCCTGTAGTTAAAAAACATACCTCTGGAGGAGGTTCCACGTGGCTCCTGCGAACTAGGTATTGCAGGGCA